CAGGAAGGGCCGCATCACGTCACAGTTCGTGGGACCTCGAATGCCAGTTTGTGACAACATGAAGGCTCTACAGTATTTTCAAAAAGTTCACAATTTTGTGCTTAATTCGAAATTTGACGTTTTTTTCTATAATGTTACCGAGATTTCCTAACTGGTCCGAGAAACTGGGACTGCAGTTCCCCTTTGAAACTCAACTACTGAACTCCACTCCTCGCTGGTCTCTCCCCCATTAAACCAGCAGGACTGAGGAATCTCCCTGGGACCAGCCCTCCCCTGACAGTGTTCCTCAATGTGTTATTCGGTCCCCTCCCTCCTGCCAGCTTTAAAAGGAAAAGTCAGGCTTGAAGATATTGAAGTAAAGGAAAGATATATATTAGGGATTCTTCTAGCAGCTAGTAAAAAAGTAATTACACAAAAATGGCTTATAAAAGAACCCCCAACACATGAGCAATGCGTTAATGTTATGAAAGAGATCTATATAATGGAAAAAACAACTTTTTCTCTCTGATTGCAGGCAGAGAGGTTGAGCAAATACTGGGAATTTATCTCCCTACAGGGACCTGATTCTAGTTTACAAGAAAATATCCAGTGAAATCTATGTGTGGAGTTTTTTGTTGTTTGTTGTGTTTCTTATAAAACAATTGTATTTTTTTTTGTATGGCCCTCCATACCTCTTGGCAGAGTGTAAATAGTTCATTTTATATATACAATGTACCAAAAATGTAAGATGAAGACAAATGTTTCTTCTGTTGTTTTGGTTATGTTCTGTTTGTAAACCCTTTCATCGCTAACTAAAAAGTTTTTAAAAAAAAGGAAAAGTCCGGCACAGGATATCCTATTTTCCAATAACGTGTGATCATCCCCGAGAGATCTGGGTGCCTATCCTTCCCACCACATCCAAATGGCCACGCTGAAATTCAGCATGCCCAGACTTTAAATAATTCTCTGAGCGCTGCTGAGACAAGGACAAGGAGATTCCTGTGTCAGAGGGTTATGCACAGGTGTTTTAAGGGGGAGCACAAGTTTGAAGAGTTGTTAATGCAGGGCTTCTCTGATGGTTGTCACATGTCTCACTTTTTTCTGCCTCCTCTCTCGGTTTCAGCGAGAAGCTCGAAAGATTTCGTCCC